TCTAGAGGATCCCCGAATTGGTATTTAATTGTGATGTTTTCAGATTGTACTGAACGGAAAGAAAATGTTGATTGCTGAGAGAAGACTCAAAAACGCCGATGAAATAGTGTTGTGGAAGTCGGATGTGAAGCTGCTCTCCTGTTATCACGTGACCTTCTTCAACGAAGAAACGGAGCTGGAAGTTGTGGACATTACCAAAGTAGAAGAACGGGAAGCGCTACTCACATTGCATCGTCTTTCCGCCAGAAATCATCAAGAAACAGCGGAACAAGAGGTCACTTATTTCACTTGCCCTAACTATTACTCTTGTCCGAAGTCAATGCACGTGGCGGCTGAGAAATCTGCGATTTTGAGTAAATTTTCGGCCGCAACGTGCATTGATTTCGGACGAGAGTAATAACTTGTGCCTAACTAACTTGAATTCAAATTTTTTAAAAGAATTGGCTTCAAGTCAAATATCGGAAATCTGACTTGAAGTCAGATTTGGATGCCTTTCAATTCGAAACATGTAATATTTTAAAAGTTAGATACGCATTTTCGTGGTGAGACCCATCATACGGTAAAGGGGCGGAGTCTCGTCATTTCTGCTACCTTCCAGTCATTCGTGCCATTTGTCTTGGTGGGAGGAGGTCGTTTCTTTTTTTTTGCTCCTCCGCACCATTCATTCACCTTCACACCATTCATATCTTCAAAATCTGACTTGAAGTCAGATTCTCCTCCACGCTATCCTCTTCACATCCTATTTCTTTACGTTTCATGCAGTCCCATTTCATTGTCTAATCAAAAATTTTTTTTCAGCAAATGGCGGATACTCCCACCGTTCAACTCTCTCAAGAGACCTCCCATCACGAGGAAACGATCACATCGATCACCCCCTTCGATGAAGAAAAGTTGTCGGATGATTCCATCGACCAGTCCGCTCAAGAAATCTCGCATTCATCGAAGACTGACATGTCAGATGAGGTTTGTATATATTAAGAGGTTTGACTTGAAGTCAGATTTCAATGAATTGGCTTCAAGTCAATTCTTCAGAATCTGACTTGAAGTCAGATTTGGATCTGACCTGAAGTCAGATTTGGATCTCACCATCCCCATCACATTTCATTGTCTAATCACCAATTTTTTTTTCAGAAAATGTCGGGAGTTTCAATCAGTCCAATCGATCCAGACGAATCGATTCAATTGACCCTACCGAATGAGCAAGAGGCATCTCGGTCGTCCATAACTGAGGAGATAGCAGAAGAGGTTTGCATATCTGACTTGAAGTCAGATTAGATGAGATTCAAAAATTTCTTTCAGATGCTGCCCGTTGATCCAATCGGCACAGTCGCTCAAGGCGAATCGGTTCCATCTTTTCCACCAACCTCATTCAGCGACACCATCGCTCAGCTTCGTTTGTACTTCAATCAGGAGTTGTCAAATGAGATTTGCATATCTGACTTGAAGTCAGATTAGATGAGATTCAAAAATTTCTTTCAGATGTTGCCCGTTGATCCAATCGGCACCGTCGCTCAAGGCGAATCGGTTCCATCTTTTCCACCAACCTCATTCAGCGACACCATCGCTCAGCTTCGTTTGTACTTCAATCAGGAGTTGTCAAATGAGGTTTGAGTAGTAGGGAATTGTCCTTTCTGGGACAGCTTTTGTCCCACTTTTTTCAAATTTTTATTTTGCTGTTTTTTCAAGTTTTTTGCCCTAATTATTTTTTTCATATAATATTCTTAGCAAAATCCACGATTTTCACACTCTCAGATTTTGGTGAACTGAGTTCACCCCCACTCACTTTCCCACTTTTGTCCCACTTTTTTCAACCTCTCAAAACAGTCACTTTTCACCCCAACTGATAAGAAATTCTCTACACTTAAATGCGTTTTCAACTCTCTTATCAATTTGTTCTCATGTCAGAATGGTAAAGCGTCTGTCTTGTGTTTGAATGGTAGAAAGTTCGAACCCCACTCAAAAGCTCAGGATTATCCACTTAATGAGATCCGAAAAATATGCAAGAAAAATTGAAAAAAAATCGAAAAAAAACGAAAAAAAATCATGAAAAAAACTGAAAAAATCAGAAAAATCAGCCAAAAATTCTCGTCGAGCAAACATGAAAAAAATCAACCGTCAGAACCATGAAGAAACGACAAAAAAATCAAGTGTTAACCAACACTCTTTTCATTCAATTCTTTACCATTATTACGTTTTATTAAATGCTGAATAAAGATTTGAAACCATTAACAAATGTAGATTTATTAGAAATAGCAAAAGAGTTACAAATCAAAGATTTCAGAGGTGTATTTATGAAGGATACTTTACCAGAAAAACGTAAAGAAGTAGAAGTAGGCATCATTAATCTTGATAGTTCAGATAATAAAGGTACTCATTGGGTCTGTTATAAAGTAAATAAAAGTGAATATTATTATTTTGACTCTTTTGGTTTGGACCCACCTCAAGAAATAATAAAATATCTTAAACATAATACTTCAAACGAAATAATTACTTCAACGTTTCAAATACAAAAATTTGATACTCATCATTGTGGATACTACTGTCTACTCTTATTAAAATTATTAGAAAAACATGATTATAAAAATTCTATTCTAACTCTGATTTAGGAATTCTATAATGCTCGAAAGCTAGAGTGTCTATATTATCTACTGTATACCTTTTTGATTCTTTATCTTTACCAACTAGATTATTTAACACAACTTTATTTTGTTTTACACTGTGGAGATTATGTCTGCTAGAGTTAATTAACATTTGTTGTCTTCTTTCAATAGTATGATTTAATAAGCAGTTCTTATAGTCATTAAAAGTCATTTCCTTTTTAACAACAGATTTCTTCACACCTTTATTTCTTTTAGACTCCATTCCCTCATCAGTTTTAAAAGCATATTGTTTTGGTCTAAAGGCTACAATCTCAGTCATTATTTTACCATTCAACTCATCTTTAAATTTACCAATAACTTTTTTGTTCTCAATGCTATGAAGTTTATTTTCTTTTGGATAATCCGAAAAATCAAAGTGTTCTTTCATAGCTAACATATCTTCATAAACATCGTCTGTTTTAATTTCATAAATATAAGAATCAGTATCTTGATAGCACAGTCTCAAATTCGAAGAATATTTTGGAAGCATCACATCATAGTGGAACTCATACATTAGATACTTGCTCAAATCTAAAATAGACATCCCCACATAAATTGGCTTATCTAATTTAATATTCTTCTGAGTCATCTCTACAAAATCATATTCTCATTTATAATATGTCTCTGTTTAAAATTATTGCTAGCAGCTAGTTTCATAACTTTATCCATATTTGACACCACTTTGACATCCACTCTATTTCTAACGTTCTCCATAGTTTTACCAAAGACAGAATTGTTCATGAGCTTGAAAAAGTCTTTCTCAAAATCATTCTTGGCATTTTTTCTCAAGTTAGTATTCAGTTCTATGTAAGAAGATAACCAATTGCTTTCTTTAAAAGTAATAACTCTATGAATTTTCTTCAAAATTAATCCATGATCTAAAACTTGCAAAAGGGCTTTATAATGTATTACATAATTTCTCTTTGGACTAAAATCATTTATTAGTTTATTGGTAGATCCAACTCGTTTATTCTCTGGACAGAAAGGTAAATCATTATGTTTATCATGTAATTCTTCTGGATAATCTAAATCTACTTCTAGTATGCAACCTTTTTCTTTTGAAACAAGATCATCTATCATTTCTAAGGTAAAGTCTTCAACGAATTCGAATTCATCATATGGTAATTTCTGACTCATTGCCCATCCATATAAGTTATTTGCATCTAGATATAATAAGTATTTTGATTCCTCTTCGGGATTATAATTAGACATGTACTTGTTATTAGCTTTCGAATATCTTAGCATGGTATTACACATACCTCCTCGAATACCTTTTTCAATAAAATTATACATTTCAATATCCTTGATTGTCTGTAGCTTAACTCCAGTTTTCTTTAACATAGCATCCCAAGCTAATCCGGGAGATGTATAGTACCAACATGGATCTAACTTATATTCTTTGAGAGACACATTTCTGAAAGTTTCAAAAACATCAGCTAATAGTAGCACATCATTAATCATATAAATTCTAGTGTAGTCTTCTAAAGTTTTACAATTTGTTTCCTTCCATACTTTCTGAGCATATTTATAACTCTCTTCACTAATATTTTCACCAGATAGAGCATTGTAGAAGTTTTCAATTGGAGGAAGTTCTTCGTTAGAATACTTTTTGAAGGAATCCATAAAATATATGGATCACACCTTTGCGTCTTAATAGATTAAACATCTTTTCATTCTTGTGATACTTATTAGTAATCACACATTCTTCATCTTGTAGGTTACTGCTGAGATAGTCCAGACTGGAAGGCATAAAACCAAAACTATCTAAAAATCTTATTTCACATCGTTTAGGATTTTTGTATATATAACTGAAACTAATAAACTTTTCTATATTTGCTGAGATGCTTTTAATTTCAACACCTTTTTTCTTCAATAGTTTGCTTGATTCCTCATCACAAATTATATGATGTGAGTCATAGCCTTTAAGATTATGGAAAAATACTGGTATAAAATTATTTCTACATTTCAATAGGTTACATGCATTACATAGAGGCCCTCTGTATAATCCAGTCCAATGATCGTGATCTCTAACTTTATCCCCATCAAACACATTCTCACACTGAGGACATGAATTACAGTTATTATAACATTCTAACTCTTCATTGGTTAAATTTTTCATTTTCTCATCACCTTTATTCAATAGTCTTGCACATACATCTAAGATATACTCATTGACTTTTAAAATAGTATTATATCCAACATAGCTCTTCATTTCGTAAATGCTCTGAGTGAAAGAATCAACCAACATCACACAGAAGCAGAGGCCTTATGTTACCAACATTCTCACTCCAAGATTTGTTAGGAGAATTGTTAACAGAATCAATTTTATAGATAACAGATTCAAAATCGGCGTAACATACAAATCTATGTTTCTGTGTTTTCTGAATATTAGAAAATTCAATATAATCATTGGAAGGTTTAATCATTTGCATTGGAGCATTACTCATACAGTCACCTAAATGATTTTCAAACTTCTCTGCATTGTAAAAGTTATTATGACATCTAATACAAAATTTATTGCTTCTACTATTTTGGGTGTTCATCAATCTATCAATATTTTTAATCAAACAGTAATGACCTTCTCCAGATTCATCAGTTACTAACAAAAGGTTTATCACTCTACTTAAATCTACGTTGATGTTTTTAGATACTTTATATGACTCAATTATTGCTGGTCCTGAGACATCATGAGTTACAATATTAACAGCCAAGTTATTTCTCTTCTCAAACTTATCTACATCTTTAACTTGGAAAGGAAATTCGAAACCTTCGAAATTAATTTTAGAAGCATGCTCTTTATATTTGCTTATTCGTTCAGGATGTTCTTCAACTGGATATAAGTGTGCTAGAATACACCACATAAAACATTTTTCATCTTTGTTTTGAACATTGACTACTGCTTTTTTATTTTTTATCCAATCTGGTAATTCAATATATTTTGATCCTGATAATGGCATAATCTTAGTTTGAGACATTCTCAAGCCAATAATTCTATTCAATCTAAATCCTGATCCTCTGCTTTGATAATGTTCTAATCTATTTACTAAATCAGATTTAATATTTTTCATGAAGTCAATTCTACTATCACCTGGATTCAATAATACACTTTTTGTAGTCAAATGAGCTACTTGGGTATCTTCTGTACCTTCTTTTATCATTTCACATTCTAAGGATACATATATTTTCACACTATTTTCATAAATTTTTTTCACAATATCAGGCCCTTTCTTATCTAAAAAGGATTCTAATGTTTTAGAATTTCCACTGTGAAAAGTATCTCTCAACGTATCACCAACTTCTTTGTAATCACTAAAGACAGTTTCATCGAAGGGAAATAGATTCATCATTTGAAGATTTGACTTTTCGCTAAGTTCATCTATATCCAGCTGTTTGAGTATTTTACGCATTTCAGGCACGCTCATATTTCTAACATCATCTCTACTTGTGTTAGTTCTGTTTCTTACAAGTTTTCGTAGTTGATCCCTATCCAATTTTTTGTAATCAACTTGTTCCATTTATAAAGCACGAAAAGTATCATTTAAAACCTATAATAAATTTTCAGAAATATTGAATAAATCAACCTAAAATCGATGATATTTCCTGTAATAAATGCATTCTGTAGTTGAGATATATGACCCTAAAAAGCGAAATTTCATTGTTCAAGACTTTTTGAAAAATCGGAAAGAGCATAAAATCAAGAATTTACAAGAGCGATCAGATTTAGAACATGTAGAAGATTATAGAATTGAAGTATTTAAACCTATTTTAGAATCCACAAAAAACTACAAGAAGAAATAATTGATGAAAAGAATAAAATAGTAGAAACTCTCAACAACTTTAAATCTCCTTC